AATTATTGATTCTGAAATAAATAAAACATTGAAATATATTAATTTTTGTTGTATTTTTCTACATTTCATAAAATTCCACTGGTTTGGTTTTTGCTATTTTAACATAAAGCTTCACAATGGACTATCTGCACTCTGTTCACTACATGGAATTGAACCCCCTGATTTTAGCATTGCAAGTCTATAAAATTAACACTGACACATCTGGGGACCCACTGTTTTGGAATACTATTTCACACAATTCACATTACCATTTTAATGTAACCTGTAAATGCCAACTTACCAAATGTTCAGTTTTTGGAATTGTAAATGCCTGTCCATCCTCTATCAGCACTCCTGACTTTAGAATAATTATATAAAAATCAGCTATAAAAATAAGATATATAAATATAATCACTGAAACAAGAGTATTAATGATAAAACAATAACTTTCTCATAATTAACAGAAAAAAAAGATATCAAAATTAACAGGAAAGACAGAATTTCACTTTTTGATACTTGATAACGAGGAACCCACTTTTAGAAAATAAAAGTTTTGAGCCAGCTTGATTGGGTAATGAAAAAACTTTATTATAACTGTACAACGTTTCAACAAGATTTTGTCATCCTTAAGTACCTGAGGATGACAAAATCTTGTCAAAACATCGTAAAGTTATAATAAAGTTTTTCATTACCCAGTCAAGCTGTCTCAAAACTTTCATAATTTCACTTTTTGTTGTAATAATGTAATTTCATAATAAAAACAATTTATAAATTTTAAATATGCAGTGTTACAAGGGTAGAGAAATTGTTTTTTTTTTTCTCTACAATTTTTCAAAGTTTTTCTAATAAAGGAAAACACGTGTGTACACGGAAGGGGGGGATTACTATGACCAATTGATTTTTTAAGCAATTGGGTGTTCAAAATTAATTTTATAAATTCATTGGTTATTAAATTGCTGCCTATACTCAGTTAAAATTGTTAGTTATTATTATAATTGGTAACAAAATTCACAGCAATAGACTATTGAAAAAATAATATTTTGGATGTGTTCTCTGCAGATGAAATAAAGAAAAATGTCAGTAATTGGCTTTAGAAACTTGCATAATCTGAAAATGTTGCTATGAGTATCTGGGAATTTTATGAATTTTACTGTCTAGTCAACATGTGATTTATGTAAATACCAGGAGTCATCACTAGGTAAAAAGATTGACCATAACTTAAATAGTACCTCTCTCTATTAGCTGGGTAAGAAATAGATTTTGAATGTTTGTTATACATCAAGCATATACTTTCACATAAAAATAACACACTATTGAGATGAGCTAAGAAAGAATAATTATTCCTGACACATAATAAAAAAATTGTACAATGATTAATCACAATGAATTACAATTATAAAAAGTGAGTCTAGCTGAATTTTTAACTTTGCATTCAAATATACCATTTAAAAAAAATTACATCCATAAGTTGGCAATTAAGGATTATATATATATACAAATAAAAGTTGTTATTATAAACACCTACTTGTTTCATATCAATGCCTACCATTAATTGGATTTTTAACAATGATGACAAATTGAAATTTTGTTGCATACTGACATATGGCACCATT